AATAATTTGTATACCAGATATGGAAAAAACTGACCATATACCAGCAATATAATTTGATAACTGCTCGAGCAGTGTTTAAATATGGCTTGCAATGGGATGATATCATTTGAGTGATGGTGAAACTCTGCCAATATGGTGGGAAGAAGGTAACCACAGGAAGCAGTTATGATTCTTGACGCGGTCAAGGCTAGATTAGTAGCTACCTCAACACTAGAGAGACAGGAAACACAGCCACTCTGGGAAGAAGTTGAAATCAGTCTCATAAAATTAAGTGTAAGGAAAAAAAATGAAAGACATTTCGAGCAGACAGTGTCTGATTACCACGTCTGAGGTAACAGTTACAGTAAAGATTTATACTGAATGAATATGCATGCAATCTAAAACAACAAATACTTTCTATTGTACCAGGGAAACAGTGATTTAACTCGATTGTAGTGGTGATGGACCAGTAATTAGAACCAGCTTTCAACATAACATAATGCAAACAAGTGTAAACCCTCACAATCTATTGATACATCTAAAGTAGTATCACATTTCTGTGCACAATGTGAGAGGGGTTGCTTGTACAAACTACCCAAAAGAGCAGAGATTTTGAGCCCATTTGAACTCATCGCCCGCAAGAGCCACTCTAAACAACATCATTTGCACCGGCAGCCAAACGTTTTCAGGGAATAAGTCCTTAGAAACCACTGCCTAACCTCACAACTGCAGACAGACAAAGGTTGTGTCTGGTTTGAGAAGAAAGTCAAATGTCTGGCCGGCTAAAGACCAAAGCACTGCCTCAAACAAGAGTAAACAATTGAAGGGACCTATGTTCAAGTGACCAAAGACACAGTTACTATTGAATATTTGTGGTGTGGCTGGTCTGTAAAGGGCAAACATTGCCTACAGGTCTTCGAGCCGGTGATTTAATGGTTGTGTTCCATGTCTGCCGGATGCGGTAATAGGCACATTTCTGTTTTACATTAACAAAAACATTATGAAGCACTTCAACCGTTTGTTAGTTTTCTATACTCTAATGGCCAATAATCGAGAATGCAGCTTTGTGTAAGGTTGACATTTATTTGTGGGTATGTATGCTATATTGTGCAATGACCATCAGTTATACTCATAATGATAATCCCAGTTTCCCAGGAACAAACAGATATGCTACTTTAATGATTTATAAAACAGGCTTTTTAAAATCCTAACTTGGCCAAACCCGATTACCATTAAGCTGTGTTTTGGATGTAGAGAAGCAATCATTGCTCTCTGATGGAAAGATAAAGCTCTTGAGGAGATTGGGATGTATGTGGCTTCAGATTATTGATGAGGCAGACACACAGCAGCAGTGATTACTGTCAGTGTGTTCACATTCAGCCTCAAAGCCAGCACTGTCTGCTGCGGGTTCATCAATATCCATTAGACATCAGGCGTTGTGCTGTAGTTCCATGCATTGATAAACAACATGCATTGTGTCTTATTAATTCAACACTTTTAGTCTTTGTCCAGACAGTTTCAAGCATTACCCGTTGGTCTTATAAATTACACAAGCAACATATATCACCAACAGTATTATTAATTAGCAAGAAGTATCTTTCTACTAATTATAAATGGGGCTAATTTCAGATTAATGAAAGGCATAAATATGTTAAACTGAGGCTCCAGTGAAAGGGAACAGAAATTGCACCTCTCCTTACAGCCGATTACCAGCTGGTTTCCATGGTTACGCAAGAGGAGCCTGATCTATTTTCAAGGGCTGGTAGCTAATGGTTCTCAATGAGCCGAGCTGTGAGTGTGTGACAGGGGATGTACAGTAGCCTAGAAATGCAAATGAAACACAGAATTTGCAAGAGCCTACTGTAAGGAGAAAACTAGAGCAAGTGCCTGCTACAAAAACAGGATTAGCTAGTTATCTACACCAAAGGTTGTTACTGTATTTATGTATTCATTCTTGATATAGAGAACAGCATTCCAGTATTCCTGCAAGAAAAGCAAGGATACTTTGCAGTGAAATTAATCCAAACACAGGCAAGTAAACCATACAAATAAGAGGAGTTTTTCTACAGTGTTCCGAAAATAAGCATTCAACCTACTCAAGGTCATGGACCAAATAGCCCCTAGTGTGCTTTGGCAGCCACTACATCCTATAATTACTCTCGTGACATTACCATGTATGTATCCAAACACACCCATAGTCCCCTTGGTGTAAATGGTAATAAGCTAATGTGGGGGGCCCATGGCACCCATCATGATGCCTCACAATCACCTTGAAAACAGGTTAATGGACTAGGACAAATAAATGGCCGGTTGCACTGTATACTTAACTATAAATAAGAATGTGTGCTCTTGGAGTGCCAGGAAAAACGGGATAAACATAAGGCAATGCAGGCTTTCCAAAATGTAAGGTTAAAAAACCCTGACCAAGACCTACAATGGTCGACAAATAGGCACCAATTGCTCATTTCTTAGCTTGTACCAATGTTGTGAATAACTATTTGGGCGATGCCAAAACAAATGCCGATGTTTATCTGAGAAATGTCTGTCTTTCAGCCATTCATCATACTAACTTTCAATGAACACTTTATGAAACTTCATTGAATAAAATATTGTGACAATGACAAGCAACCATTTCTGAAAAAATAACTTTTACAAAAGCCCATGTATCATGCAATAACCTACAGTATTCAATGATAAGTATTTTAACCAACAGTACCAAGTCACATAAAAACAGATAATCGTCTAGTGCCATTGGCTCATCTCAGCTTATCTGCAGATGGGTCGATGACAGTAAATAAAGTGGACATTGGCCAATGCCTTGCATCCCCACTTTTAAATATGTATTCACTTGTTCCTTGTTCTATTATTTGGATCGCCTGGCTTGCATTCCTGTTTTAGGGATTGTTGATGTCATAACGCTGAGCATGATGGTGCATCTTTTAACATAGTTACATAAAATGATTAGCATCTTCAGTGCCAGTGGTGTTGCAAAGCAGAGGCGAGTCCCCAACTCACCTCTCACAATCATTTGAACCACCACATAAGTGCTGACGCAGCGAGGGACAGAATACAGGACAGATTTAAATGGATTTCGAGTGCACGGATGTTACTGTGAGGAATGGACCCAAAAGACATAATCCCCGATTAATCCTGACCTTATCTGCTGTCTGGTATTTTTCACTTTTCTCCTGACAAAATACCAAACCTTTTCACATGGAGCTTGTAGTTGTTTTTCATTTACTACAATACTTGCAAGACTTCTTTTTCACCATTCACAATAGCACTCCTATGATGCTGGTCTCATTCACCTCAGCTCCAAATTTGATGAAACTTGATTGACCCATTTCCTTTTTAGCTTTTTTCTTCTTTGCTCCAATTTTTACTCTAATCTAAATGTGTCTCATCTCTTTCCTTGTCCTTGCTGCAATCGGTAGTAAAAACGTGACCTGGCTAGAAGGGACTAGTGAGCGCTCCAGGGGCTGAGCTTAAATCCCACTGCATGTGCAACAGCGATAAAGCTGCTAAATCACACTGGAGAACTGTCCTGGATTCCTTCTCTCCCTGCCTCTCTCCCTCAGCTGTCGCCTCGGGAGAGGGAATTCAAGAAAGACCACAAGGGATGTGAAAGGAGGGAAGCAAGGGTGAAGGTCAAGAAGACGAAAAAAAGGTGAAGAAGGCGAAGTAGGAGAAAGAAAAGGAGAAACATGACAACACAAAGACTAGGAATACGAGGAGTGTAAAGAGATGAATGAGGTGAAAATAAAAAAGAATAAGCAGAGTGTGAAGAACATGAGGAAGACGAAAAGGCAAAGAATACAATGAGGAAGAGAAACTGTGAGAAGCAGCCTTCCTGTTAAAAAAAGGAAAGTATTACTATAGTAACTATTTGTTGCTTCACAATCGATGTGATGTGACTTCAAGATTCAGAAGCTCCACAGTTTATACCAGTGAGAGACGAGGGAGAATCTATTGTGACTCAGAGGACACCTGATGAGCTTTCAAGTCCTCAGTGAAAATACTTCTGAAGGCCTTCTCTCTCTCACTGTCAGCAAAAGAAAAAGTCTGACAATGTTATGGGCAAAAATCCTTAAACAGCGAGAAGAAAAAAGAGACTGCTGATGAAAGCTCTTTGATAGAAGTGCAAAAGATGAGATAACACAAAGCAGAAAGCCACGATGTCGGCATGAAAAGCTTACTTCATCCGACTTGTCTGCACAACTGTTGAATGATAAATAACCCTCTCCAATGAAAATCAAGTTTGAAACATTGTTAACGTGTCCATATTGATTTTCTTTATACTTCAAGGCATATCATACGTGAAAGAATAAGTCTATGATGGCTGCCTTGGAGCTGTAGTGCACCAATGACAGTCTAAAAACATGCCACATATGTCACATATTAAAGGAACCAATCAGGTCAACTTGTAGGATGCAGCATTCCATAATATTAGCGTAAACCACGGGTATCAGAGGAGGAGGAAAAATGGTGATGTTCCAGACAAACTTCAGAAAGAAAATTAAGGTTTGCAGCAGCCTTTTTCCAAAGCACTGTTTTTTACATGTTTACCCACAAGCAGAAGGGGTTTTGTCCTAAAATGATCGAGGTTCAACGCTTTTGTGTCATTATGTGAAACACATAAGTGTTTACAAGCTTAAATGTTTATCAACCAGCAAGTATTTGACTGCATGAAGGGATTTATTTCATGTAAAAACTTCACAATACATAATACTATAAAAGAGATGAGTTTAAAATCAAAGCTGGGATAGAAACTTTAAAATGCCTATATGCATCCTAATGGCAATGCAGCATGGAACAATGATCAGCATAACAGCAGGACACTAATAACCTTATTGCTTACTCTGAGTAAAATGTAATGCGACAACTTCTAACTGACCTTTTCAAAGTAACAAGGTGCAGACCTATAGGACAAACCGGCATGCAGTCTTCCACAGCCACTGATTTAATCATGTTGTCATGGTGACAAGAGGTGCAAACCCACGCTTATCTTCAGATACTCTTACCCATTAGCCAGGTTGTCGTCGTCATCCGGCAGGCTCTTTCCAAGGAGGTCGCTGTCACTCAGGTAACCAGACTTGAGGTCGTCCAACCCCTCGATGAGCTCGATGCGAGACGTGCTGTTGAGGCGGCTGGAGCAGCGGGCGGGCATCGTCTGCGCCGTGTACTGGGAGCAGCTCTTACTCCCCTGGTACCCCCCGCCCGTGGAGGAGGGGGCCTCTCCCGCTTGGAGACGAGGGCTGGACTGGCCGTGGCGCCAGGAGAGAGGCGAGGAGCGGTTGGACATGCTTGATATGCTGCGAGCGTTGGTCTCATCGCTGTCATAGCCCACATTACTGCTGTCCATACAGCTGGAGAGACATAGAGGGTCAGTGTACCTGAGGCATTTAGCTGACTATCTTCAGAAGTCCTTCAAAGAAACCCATAGTGGCATTGAGTCGCTGTTGACCCAGATACAGCAGTGGTGGCGTATCGTCTTCAGGGACTAAAGCTAGAAATGTGGCCTCTCAGGACCCGAAGACAACGAGAAGGATGGCCTGATAGCTCTGATTTTACAGAGCAACAAAGCTCCCCCTGTCTCCTTACGCAACACTTTCACAAAGACAGAGGGACCTGCTTTGCATGACCAAACCCAAAAACATGTACTTTACACTATTATTCTGAATGGAGTATATCAAAGATTCCTAGTCACTCCTGTAAGTGGGTCAGGGTAAGAAATGTCCTCCAAATGGCTGTGTCTGCAGGTTACATAACATATGAACCAATTCACCCAAATAAATATTGCAAAGGCTACGAGCATGGGAGTATTTTTATCCATTGTTGATGGATAATTTATCAATATGGAGGCTCACTGCTGCCAGTCCAGTACTGAAACTGAGTGAGAAGTCTTGCTTTTGACAATGAGTATGATTGTAGATAACTACTGTATAATAGTGGTGTGAATTACAAGAAGTCTTCTCAAGCATCCATAAACAAAACTGGCCAATGGCAAAATAATATAATTGCAACATTTCCCAGAGAAGATAATTGATGGAATGAATGAGGGATGAGCAATATATGGCTATATTTAGCTGATTGTAATGTTTTGTTTGTTGAGGCTTGAATTAATCAAGCCATTAATAAAGTGTTTATTCAAATAAATTACAACTCACTGAGTAATTACCCTTTTAGCAGACACAGAGCAACTTTAGAGTTTTATTCAATCATGTTTCTGGCGACCCAATAAATGCATCTTTATTTGAGTATTTTCTGGTTATGTAGGTAGGATTTTGGTTTGCTACAAATATTGAAGTTTTCAGCTGTTAATGTGTATGTGCAAAAAAGCAGTTTAGAGCTGTACAATTTTGGTTTTAATCCTCTATAATAATTCCGAATACATCCTGTTTTAAAACGAAATAATCAGTGCAGGTTTAAAGAGATAGAAACCAGACATATGTTTATGTTACATTCATGTTTCACAGGACATCCAAACATATGTCCAAATGAAACAACAAAGACCTGTCCTGCTCCACCACTGCCTTGTGTTGTGGTTGTTTCTCAAATTAATTCCTGGGCCTTTTGCCTATGAGAGCCAAACAGAGAGATTCCTAGAATGAAGTCCTGACCATGAAACAGAGCCGGGCTGTTTCAGAAGGATGGAAGCCAGATGTGCACAAGCATCCTTCCAAACAGCCACGGCACAACTGTTTACACATGATTGTGTCATGTATCGATCCAACAAACTGTCCAGTGCTTGTTTATATGAGTTGCTTTTCAGTTTAAACCAAAGAGAAAATAATTTGGCTCAGGGTTTTGAGATTTCATTAACAAAACATTTACCCTCATTTGTTTGTATGTGATATTAGCCAGAAGTGCAGGATACAGCATTAGGATACAATATCAAATCCTCAAAAGCAGATGTAGTGCTGTTACCTATGACTTAGCTGGGATCCCCGCAGACTCGTCATTGTATCCTCCAAATTCTGGCGAAGGTCAAGGACATTCTGCACGGTCCGCTTCCTCTGGGACTCGGGGTCTGTGGGTCAGTCATGCAGAACAAAAGGTTATGAAACATTTAGAGGGTCAAACTAAAACTCCGATTTTATCCTGCTCTCTGTGTTTGTGTTATAAGAGAGTTCATGCATGCACACCCTTCCTGCCTCCCCCTGCATTATTTGAGACTGATGTGACAAGTGTCTTCCGTGTAAGCACACAGCCAGCGTATGTTCACATCATTAGGCAGACAAATTTCACTCCATGGGCCCCCTCGCCACGGTAACCTCCGCTCCACCCCCCCCTTCTGCACTGACATGGTACATCCTGAAAATGAAATACTGAAAGGTTGCCTCACATTGCCCACCAGGGGGATGTATTCTGACATTCATGCAACACCAGGATCTCTTTCAAGGAGTTTTTTTCTCTCAAAGCTTCTGGTTTTGTTGTATTGAGCATTAACTCAGAGTCTTTCAGCTGAAGCTGTAGGGCTAACAACACGCTGAACTGCAGCCAGAAGGATTTCACTGCAGGTCAGCGTATTTGGACAAAGCTGCGTGTAATGTAAAGTGCGCAGTCAGTCGGTCATGACCATGTCAAATCAATATTACAGTGCAATTACGACTGTTGTTGTGTTAGCTGTAACAAATCAGAGAAACCACCCTGTCTCAGACCAAAATGAGATGGGGTTTTCCACTGCAGAGCGTGGAGGCTAAAAACCCTTGGGAAGAAAGAAATGAACATTCAATGCATTAACTGGAATAGCTGGAGGACAGGGGCGATGTCAGGGGAACACACGTCAAATAATGTGCTGCTCTCATAGAGACAAGTTCAACTACTTCAGCACTGTCACATGAAAACATTTACACAGTTCACACATTCAGAACACATCTATGAATGTCCTTTTTGTTAACAAGCACTGGAGATAGGAGTCCAAATCTGCAACCAAACTTGTTACTGTAGCACTTTTGATACATAAGGTAGTTTCAAAAGCATAAATTTCAAATACATTACATTTATGGCCTCAGTGAAAAAGCAATAAATAATCTTCTTGGCATTTGTGTACCGTTATTATTATTATTACAATAATAACCCACATCCATTCACTTCCACTGGCGATACGTTTTGTAATCATTTTCATTGGCTTTGGAAACCCTGAGAATTGTCTGCTTCCATATAAATCAATCAATGATAGTCATATTATAATGAAACACACCTAAAAGTGTATCTTATATTGAGCATTTTAAGTGAGATTTGGACACAAATTGATGCGTGACAGACTCAAATAAATTGTGTGGCTTGAATAACTTACACTGTTTAGTAGAATTGGTGAATTTGGATCTATCTTTTATCAATTATTAAGAACAAAACATTGTGGTTTTGAGTTGTATGTATATATGTATATAGTGCATCCACACTCTGTCTTCGTAATGCAATATCTGATGTTTGACTGAAAACAAAATAAAGACATTATCAGATAACATTTAGCTGTCACGTTGAGTATTCTCATATGTATTCTATGAAACATGGTCTCACCCAGAATATATTTAATTTATTTGAGATCATGAGAAGGGAGATATAGAATAACATCTAATAATTTCAAGGCAAACATACCAGAGTCAAAAAGTACTCCGTGACAGTCCTTGACTCTGTAAATCAATCTTTGGGTAACCTCACATGAACAAACGCTAACCACATGCTTATTCTGGCATAATGCTAATTTATTTAAGATGAATTCCTGGGAATAAGTTCAAGCTTGAATCCTGGACACAGAGAACACATGTGCATCACAGCTGTTTGGAGTGTGTGCATTGTGCACTGTGTCCCTGTGCAGTGACTGACAGTCGTCTGGCACTCTGCAATGCAGTGACGCCTCCAAGCAGGAACACTCGGACAGAATACTGAAGCAGATGTGGACCGGGAAAGACCGATGAATGATTCAACCACAGGAAGTGCTCAATATCGACACTGTGCCCAGGCAGATTAAAAGAAAACTAATTATAAAATACTGTTAACATGCCCTTTGTAATTAACCTTACAAAAACTGCAAAATTAACATTAGTGCCCTGATTAATTGAAACATTAGCCTCCACATTTCCATAAACAAACAAAACGATCAGTGAGGGTAACATAGTTGTATTGGCCTCTAGAGTTCATTTAAAGCCTGTTTTATTGTTGAGATTTCACAGGGAATCTAAAGCACTTGACAAGAATAAAGAGAGGTTGCTTCATGGCACAACACTAGAAGAGGATGTGTTTACTTTACCTCAAATAGACCTAGAGCTCAAGTGTTTAATGGCAGGTGACACAGTGAGAGATTTCCAATTGTGGCAATGTGCACCAAAAAAAAGGAAAAGAAAACACACACACAGATTTCAGAAAGAGGGAGATGTGGGAGGTTCCTTTTTTGATGGTCACATACTTTGTCCAGCTGTCACTCATTGGCTAGAACAATCTATTTTCCTATAAAATCTTAATACCAACGTCCCTACAAGCAGAAAAATGCAATTACGTTACAGCAAAATGATGTTCTGCCCATGAAACTTTTAAAACGTGTACTGTAGAAGCGGCAAAGAGAAAAACCTATTCAAAACAGAGCTAGCCTACGAGACTGTTTTCATGTTAAAAATATGAACTTTACCATTAGCGTACATTGAAAAGGAAACCATGTTTGACCCTTGCATGCATGTATAGCTTGAAATAATGCAATCTGTGACTATTTCATCACCCATATAGCATTTTACTGCTCCACTATGAATCTACATACAGTAGCTGTAGGCCAGCGCTACGTTGGAGATCTTGCATGACAGATCACATATAATTACAATGAAATTATGTTTGCTCAACCCCCTTTTTTTCCAGGAGTCCTGATGTCTGCATTACTCTAATCTTATCTAGAGTCGTAATGACCTGGAATGTACACGTTTTCATAGTCCATTCATCACTTTGAAAATATTTCCAAATGGTACATTTTCATTTATTACCCAGCTGACAACTGCTCTGTGTGAAGAGTTAGAAAATGGGAGCTAAACAGAAATTGCAATTATTTTGTGAGACTATCAAACCATAAAATAAAAGCATGACAATTCTATTTGATCAGGATGGAAATGTTTGATTAGTTTTGTTATCTTGTGATGAGGCAGTGATGATCAAGTACTGAATGTCAGCCACGGAGCACAAATCACTATTATAAATGAGCCTTATAACTGTGTTCACCATGTCTTGATGTCATGTTGGTAAACAAAGAGATCCTTTATGGTCCGAAATAAAAGTATCTATTCAGCAAGCTTATAATGAGATATACTGCAGAAGCACAGCATTGTATTAAGCATAAAGCTGGCCTTGACTGTAAAGCAGACTATTAATAGAAACATCTATTTACAGTAACAAGCTGTGAATGCAGAGTTAGGAAAAAAGTTCCAGTCAACAATGCAGAAAACAAGTCTTCAGTTAAAGTTTCCATTAATGCAACACATCATTATTGTAATTGAAGATATTTTTCTCCTAATTATAAACTTGTTGTGATAGTTTCCCGCCTTTCCATCAGCAGGTCTCCATTTGGTGGTGTTTTTACTTTATGAGCACAAAAGCACTGGACTCGTGTCAAAGGCCCGCATGGGATTATCATCTTAAATGATGATAAATAATTAATTTGAGGAATAATGACTTTCGATTGATTAGGGAAAAATCAGGGAGGTCAAAGTGTTACATTGAGGAGAGAAGATGTATCAGCCAGAGGCATTCTGCTGCAAATGTTATGCAAATAGGCTATTAAAGGAGACATGGGTGTGGTTCCCAATTCAACTGAGCTTTTAGGCCCCGCTCACACGGGACCGTTTGCGTTTATGCACAGTATGCGTATTCAAAAAAGTCTTCCGTTCACATGCATTTGTTTCATTTAACGTGTCTGTTCAAACGAGGCCGCTGGAAACGCTGTAGTACATATGCTGGGACTGTAAGTGGCGCTGTAACTTCCGCCAAAATACACCAAAAGCCGCGAAGAAGAGCAACCCGAGCAGCCCCGCTGCAATGTTGCCATGGCTACCCTTCTGTTTAAGCCCCGAAACTGAAACTGAAACTGAAAGAAACTGAAAGAAACCGAATCTGTGGATATTGCATCCCGACCAAGAAGCACGTCTCTGTGGAGAGGACGGCTCAGAAAGAGAGATATTCTCTACAAACACCGGGTGAGATCCTCCTTTGTCAATATAATGGATCAATGCATGAAATCTGACTCTGTTTATTTTGTTTAAGGAGTATATTGGGCGTTAACAATTCTGGTTTGCCTTTTATAATATTATTTCATTCAAGAACCCCTGGTGCGTTTAATTAACACAGCTATTTTTGATAGTTGCTACAGCAGTGAGCAGGAGAGGTGGGGAGAGGCGGGGCTATCGCTATTTTTTCAGGAAATATTCGTATAGAGGTGATTACACGGACTCGGTTGACCCCCCAGAGCGTTTCGTTTGCAAATCTATCCACCTTGGGACCCGTTATTGTTTGTGGGGTCAGTTTCTATCGGCCTCGTGTAAATAATAGGGCTATACGCACGCGAAACTATGCAGATACAAGCAGTTTTCTCCTCGTGTAAACGGCGCCTTAGACATTTGTGTGATTTTAAAGTAATGATGCAAAGCAGCTATTCTTGTTATTGTTTACAGTTCATAGCTGACTTAAGTGTGACCAACATGAGTGATAGATGTCCATGTAAGGCTAATGAGGCATGGATAACAGATTAAATCACCACAGATGTGTTCATTAAGATGCAGAAGTGAACATGCTTTCCTGATGATTTGGAAGCAAGGGAATACAAATAATTGAAGAGTGCATGAAATGCTTGTCTGTATATGACATGCTTGAACCAGATTTGTGCATGACAAGATTTTAGGAATACGAATGAATGCAACGACGTTATGTGTACGATATATGCGCTGTAGTATTATTGTTCTTTAAATTAGAGGACCTTGTGTCAGTAGTGTAATCTGGAACCATAACACTGACACTAAAAGCCTTTTCACAGTATTATGCATTAAAGAGGGTAATGTTTCTTTCTTTATAGCTTTTGAAATGGCAACTAGATTTGAGTGTCTGATCTGTAAAAAAAACTACAAAATACTATTTAAAAAAACAAACAAAAACCCACGTACACTAGATTCTAATTATAATGGATTGTTCCATGTACGTTTCCACAGACAAAGACACTTTTTCTGGAATACAGGTCTATATCAGACACATACTAAACCTGCAATTAAACAAGGAGCCAGCTTTGAAATGCAAAAATCAAACAAATCAACAAAGAAGATGAAGTCATCATAATTATAACCCCCTATAATATGATCAATACCCCTATTGTTCATGGAGCCCTTTTATTGATGAACCTGACCTACACCACCAGGGAGAAAGCCATTTTCTCTGCCATTTGCACCGCTGTAGTAAACAGGGTGTAAACCATCTGTCAGAGCTCTACAGATGAATGGAGCTGGGAGGAGGCTAAATGTGTCTGTGTGCCGAAAATGAATTCAATATGGCATGCCTTCTTTTCCCATCTCTCTTTTGATGGAAGTGTACGTGGAGCAGGGGATGGACCCTCGAGTGCATCGGCACATGTTGCAGCAAACAAGAGCTTTATTAAGGGGATCAGTGTGCTGGTAATAACCGCCAACCCCTCTGGCTTATTTCATGCAATCAGCCGGCAAAGCAATATAAGCTTGCCTCTTTCACAATATCAATGGCAGCAAGCCCCAGCCACCTGAGCGACATGCTGGAAGAACAGGAACAATAGAGCTATGGCTTTGGCATTTTCACATAAAGCTAAATGGTTAATCAAATACCAAACTGATGCAGCATGAAATAAGAGGAGCAAGCTTTGCCAGCACAAGAGGGATGTCTTCCATTTGTTCTCATTCGGAGAGCTTCATTTAATCCGTTTAGGAGCAGTGTTGGTCTGCAGCAGCAAGCAGGTGCCGTGTGCTATCTAAGGGGGCGTGCTGCCGACAAGCACTGAGAAATCTTGAAAGCCACATGGCCGCCACACGTACTGTAGGGACTCTGGAGTGTTGGCGTTATCAACACTGCTTTGCTGTACTCACCTAAAATCTGACTGAAGAGCAGCTGCTCCAGGTCGCCCAGCACTGTCACCACCAGTTCTGGGTCCACCTTCAGGAAGTTCTTGTCTCCACCTTCCTCCCCATGGCCTTTGGACCCAGACTCCCCCCCGGCTCCAGCTCCCTGCTTCTTGGCCTTGGCCTTGCTGGAGAGGATCTCGTCATCTGACTTCCCATCCTCAGGTGCCTTGCTCAGGGGCTTCACCTCAGCGTAAGGGGCACGCGGTATGCGGCTCTGCTTGTTCAGAGCAGATGGAGCAGCCAGAGGGCTGAAGGGCTTAGGTTTGCCCTGGAACAGTGAGTGCTCAGATTTGGAAAGGTTTCTTGAGAGAGGGGCACCCCCTCCGGCACTGCTGCCCCCCCCTGCTGTCTTTGGCTTGCCCATCTTGCTCTGCCCTGCTCCGGTCTTGGCCATGTCATCACACCACTTGGGCTCATAGAGGTGCAACTTCTTCTCAGCATCAGTGAGGACCGCCAGGTTTGTCATAGACCTCTGCTTCCGGAGACTGGAGGGCAGTGGTATCCTGCCGTCAGAGCTCCCCGCGCGGTAAACCTTCAGCTCACCCCTCTGGGAGCTCTGGGGTACTCCGGACTTTGCTCTCTTAGCAGCCATACCAACTCCTTTGCCATCTGCTTGGCCGTATGCCTTTGTGCTATCCGTCCTTTCCATCTTCAAATCTCCTTCTCTGCCTCTCACACTATTTCCAAGCATGCCTCCTGCATGAGACCATATAGAGAAGCATCAGCAAGGGAGAAAAAAAAGGCTTCCGTATCAGCTCCTTCCTTGTGCAAAAGCATACATAAAAAAACCTCTACAGGCAATCCTGCAGCCTTCCTCTCTTCCCTCTGTCTCCTTCTCTCCCTCTTTCCTCCTGACAGGCTGCTGCAGTTGCAGCTGTTGCAGTGCTGCCCAGGCACTCCCTTTCTCTCTCCTTTCCTTCCGTCCTTCTTTCCTCCGATTTTTTCCACACTCCTCCCTTCAGCACACCCTCCTGCCGCTGAAGCGCGCAGCAGCGGAATGACAGCGGCAGCAGACGCAACAGCGCTCCCTCCTCCCCCTGCTTTCTGCTGCCTCTCCCTTGCCTCCTCCTCCTCCTCCTCCTCCTCCTTCCCTCCCATCCTCCCTCCCATCCTCCCTCCTCCTTCACTCGTTTTTTCTTCATTTAAAAAGATGCTTTGCTGTGTCTCAGCAGAATATATGAAATGCGAGAAAGCGTTGAGAAACGATCATCCGTGGCTTTGAAAAACCCAGCAACATTCTCCTCTCACACACCATGTTTTCTCAGCATCTCCTCTGGTTCCTTTGTTCTCCCCCTCCCCCTCCCTCACCTCCAGTGTTCCCTGTTCAATACTCTCTACACGATGCATGATTTGTGGACGTGTTATTAATGTGTAATATGCAATTACACACACATAATAAATTATCCTCACTGTCAAAATCCCAGACCCTGCAACAACTAGAGCATCCAGTTTATCTGTTGATCCCGTCTAAGCCTCCTTACGATATCAATTCCAGATTAACAGCTGGATAAAGCATATACAAAAAATCTGCAGTGTAGTGTCCTGCCCTAAATGGACAACAGTATTCTTGTCAAATAACATCAACAATGAGGACATAAAAGGTAAAGGTTAATGCACTGTACAAGGTTGTTAATGAAAACTGTTGTTACTAATAAAAGAAGGATTGGTTAGTTTTGTCCACAGCTTGAATTCAAAAAGGAAAAACCTGGTTTTCAATCCAGAAAAAGTCTCAGCAAAATGGGTGACCTCACTTCACTGAGCAGAGATGTGCCAGTGTAAGCAAGACACACACCCAAAACCACACTTTGGAAATATGTCAAGTCAGTGCAGGACACATGTCCACACAAGCGATTGTTTTAAAATGAAAACTCCAATCCAAATGTTTTCCTTTCAGGCATATCTTTCCCCCCCTATCATGATTGTTATCGTCTTTTTAAGATAATCCACGCTGCTGTCTCTCAGGAGGATCAGGGAGGCTCCATGGAAACCACCCTCTCTCCTCGCCTGCATGTCATCTGCACCAGACCTCTAAACCAGACCTTTTGTACACTCGCTGCACAAAAACACAGCCTTTCCTGTAACTACTGTGATACAAACCCTTGTTTTTATGTTCTCATCAAATTTACCTCAGGTTTAAATCATCCAAATCTTTTTTTTCTTTCTTCTTAATAAGTTAAATTAGTTTCTCTTTACCACAACACAGCATGGCTGGATAGCAACATGCTAGATGGTGCTGATCCATTGGACACGATTGACCTGTTAGCAACAATGCCCACAGGGTACCGCTCTCACTCTCACAGAGGAGTTTGCACCACACTCCACTGCTCTTCTTATTTAGGTTTCAGGGCACCTGGGGCGGCTCATGGACCACTGAGGTTGTTCAATCTGGCAAATAGTTTCTGGGAACAATGTAATGTCTTGTTCCTCCTCATCACGAGGTTCCAAGGCTCCCCTGCTGACTCCAGACCTTCAAGTTTGATCTTACTCCCAAGATGCATTGAATGGCCTTTTTTTTCTTTTCTTTTGGAGAGTGGGAATTGTTAATGAAGCATAGGATAACAAATCCAGACATGCCAAATGAACTGCAAGCCTTAAATGTTTACTTGGGATATCTATCCATATAGTTTGTATCAGACAAACTAATTCAACGACTTCTATGATGACAAAAGATCAAATATTTTCCGTCTTGAGTTGTTCTAGTGATTCCATTATAATTATACTCAAGATGACCGAATCTTATTAACTTTGATGATCCTGTGAGTTATTTTCTAGAAGCCAACAGTGTCTTTTTTTGTGAAATTGCTCGACAAATATAGGATGGATTGCCAAAAAAGATTGGATTGGCAAAAAAATGTGGTTTATTGTCGCTTTAGCATAAATGCCAAGGACTCTGGTGATCCCAAGAGTTTTGCTCTAGGGCTACCATGACTGTGACATTTGTTGGTTTATGTGTCCTGCCAAGTATTGAATGGGCTTTTTTTATTTGGGGACAGGAAATTGTTAATGAAGCATAGGATCAAATCCAGACATGCCAAATTTACTGCAAGTCTTAAATGTTTTTTCTCAGGACATCTACGCATACAATTTAAAATCAGACAAACAAATCAAAACCTTCCATCAGATTTTTACCATTTGGACTTCAGTTGTTGAGGTGATCTGAATCTAATTTTTGGTCAAGAATGGATGAATCCTATTGACTTTGATGATCGTGTAAGATCTCCTTTAGATCAACCATGAGGCTAACATTGTAAAATTACCAAACAACTATTGGATTTATTGCCATAAAAGATTAAAATAGTACAAAGTTTGGTTTATTATCCCCAGAGTTTAAATGCCAGTGAATTATCTGAGTTTCGTTCTAGGGCCGCCATGAGGCAGACATTTGTGGTGTATGTGTTCGGACATCTATTGAATGGCCTTTTTTCATTTGGGGAGAGGACATTGTTAATGGAGCAGAGGATAACAAATCCAGACATGCCCAATTCACTTACATGTTTTAGGGACACCATGCATAAAGTTTGCATGAGACAAACACAATCAACACCTTCTATCCATGTTTAACCATTTGGACTTTGGTTGTTAGTGTTCCATGCCTACTTTTACTCAAGAATGGATGAATCCTATTGAGTTTGATGATCATGTGAGATCTCCTCGCACAACCCTGAGGCTACCATTTTCATTGTCTTTCAGAAATACCAACGATTTAGGTGAACCTGCGAGTTTTCCTCCAGGGCCACCATGAGGCTGAGATGTGTGGTTTTCTGTCCTGACAACTATTAGACACACTTGTAAACAAAAACTGTGGAAACTTTGAAAAGCCACCACTTCTCAGGAGAGAGGGAGGGTGGAGCTGCATCTTTCATTTGGTGTCTTCCACATCTGGTTCTGATTCTCACTTTCTGCCTGGCCATCTGAGTAATTGTGTGTGTGTGTTTTATGTGTGTGCATGCTATGACAGCACACTTCCACAGCTGTCTATTATACATTTCCCTGGAGAGCACATGTAATCATTTTGCTCAGCTGCTATAATGCAATAGATTCAGAAACCTCCACATGAGCTCAAAGGGGAAAACCTCAGAGAACATCAAATAGTCACATGTTTCTAAAAAATATGGTGTTAAAGATGAATGTAAAGATAGTGTTTGTGCATAGTGCTAAGGTCATATGGTAATTAATTGTATTAAAAAGCCCCTTAATAGAGATCTAATAGGATCATTGTGCTGCTGGAATGCAGACACCCAGGAGGATGAAGACTTGAACTTGATGTGCTGAGAAAATAGTCTATTCATGATGAACTCAAGCTGCTGGAAACAAACAGGTAAAACCATCCTGATGAAACATTTGTGAGAGTTATAAATGTGCTGTTTTCGATAGATACTGAAGCAATCAATACTCCCTACTGCGAAACTTAATTCATTTTAAAGTTTCTCACCAGAGATGCTAACCGGGCTTTAGTTCCTGCAGATGTTTCCTACTGCATGGAACAGTCATTAAAAGAAGCAATGTATCAACTTCTAGGAAACTTGTACTTGAGGCCGGATGACAGCTTACAGAGACACATCTCTCCGCTCTACGGTCAAAAACTGAATTTAAGCGTCCCTCAGGCCCGTCCAGTAGGGACCAGAGGATCTCCCAGACAGGAGGGGAAAGACGATCCTCCCATCAAACCACTCAATCTCTCAGTCCGGCATCTGTCCACCCCGCGCTGAGGACCACTCAGTCTCTGCCTTCCCCCTGAGGAGGCTCTCACCCCTCAGTCATTAAGATGATTAAGAAGGCAGTTAGAGGGCTGTATAATAGCCAAGTGCAGTTATAGGAGGATTTTACATGTTGGTTGATAAGGAGCCGGAAATATATCAGACATCATAACCACAATGACTTGTTGTAAAGCAATGCAGGCTAGTCATTTAGGTTTAAAAAGTATGCTATTTAATTAGTTGTGCTTAAAATAGAAGAGATAATTTACTAATGTTATCACACAGATACTGATTGCTAACAGGTTTTATTTAGGTTATGATAGATTCCCTTAAAAAAAAGATCTTTTGGTGAGTCTCATATTAATAATAATAATAATAATAATACATTTATTTTATATAGGCGCCTTTCAAGGCTCTCAAGGTCGCCGTACAAATACATAAAAAACAAGATACACAATAGATAACACCAGCATAAGAAACATAAACAAGACAATGCAGTATATAAATCAATCAAATAACCAAATAAATAAAAAACAGAGGATGTGTGATGGATAATGATCAGGGTGGATATGCGAGTGTGAAGAGATTCAGATCAGATCAGATTCAGATTCAACTTGGACCGGAGGCTCCTGAGGCGCCTCCCCGAGGGTAGGAGGACGAACAGATAGTTTGCAGGATGAGAGGTGTCTTTGAAGATGTTGTGCGCCCTCTGCAAACACCGTATCCCCTGGATGTCTTCGATGGCAGGGAGTGTGACACCGATGATGCGTTGGGCGATTTTCGTCACCCTCTGCAGTGCCTTCCTGTTGAGCATTGTGCAGTTCCCATACCAGGCTGTGATACAGCTGGTCAGGATGCTCTCAATGGTGCAGCGGTAAAAGTTCACCAGAATCTGAGGAGAGAGGTGACCTTTCTTTAGTCTCCACAGGAAGAAGAGACGCTGGTGAGCCTTCTTTACTAGGCTGGTGGTATTGTTGGACCATGAGAGGTTATCGGATATGTGGACCCCCAGGAACTTGAAGCTAGACACACGCTCCACCGCCGTTCCATTTATGTGGATGGGAGTGTGTGTGTTGCCTTTCGTTTTCCTGAAGTCCACAATTAGTTCTTTTGTTTTTGTTGTGTTGAGAGCCAGGTTATTGTCAGCACACCACTCAGTCAGATGCTGAACCTCCTCCCTGTAGGCCGTCTCATCGTTGTTGTGGATGAGGCCGATCACCGTTGTGTCGTCTGCATACTTG